CTGTGCTTGATCTGTGCAGATTTCTCTCCTGATTCAGACCAGAACACTTTTTTACTGGAGGAAGCGTTATTATGGATTATGGACTCAATGTATTTAAGTTAAAAACGTCTTAATGCTGGATTTGTTTCAGCTTTTGTCTTCTCCAGATGTTAACTGATGGACTGGAGTGCTGTGGATTACTTGTGGATTATTGTGATGTTTTTATCAGCTGTTTGGACTCTCATTCTGACGGCACCCATTCACTGCAGAGACACTGATGCAATGCTACATTTCTCCAAATCTGATGAAGAAACAAACTCATCCTAATCTCTGATGAACTGAGGGTGAGCACATTTTCAGCACATTTTCATTTTTGGGTAAACTATTTCTTTAAGCTTTCTTCATGCTCAGGTAAATTGATGTTTGAGAGAGAAATTACTGTATGCTGACTTTAAATATTGATTGTGCTATAGTAAACTTCTCCCACGGCTTGTTTTATTACTGAATGATAGACTCAATCTTTACAGTATGTTCTTGACTCTTTCACGAAATCAGCAATAAAAGACGTGATAATGAATGTCTGAGGAGATAAAACACTATGACCAGCGACTCAATCAAACATTCACCTGAATTACATAAAATTCAGCCAGTTAAACTCTGCGTCCCTCCCTCCGGCTTCGTTAGAAAACTCCCACTTCACTCTGCAAGTTCAGTTTACTGGACTTTGAAATATTCCCAGACTCTCCTGGGATTTGTGTGTTTCAGACAGCAGACTGATCGTTTGTCCCTTCAGATCGAGTTGAAGGACATTACCATCATCATCATCATGAGTAAGGAAGCCCGTCCATCCTGGGACAGTCCCATGCAGTTTGTCCTGGCGTGTGTGTCTTATGCTGTGGGACTCGGGAACGTCTGGCGTTTTCCGTATCTCTGCCAAATGCATGGAGGAGGTGAGAGGATTCGTCTTGTACTTCACATCTCCTCATGCTTGCATCTGAATGTTTGTTCTTTTGAGCTAGACTTTGATAGAGAGCTTGATAACAACAGCAGCAGAAAAGGACAAAAATATAATGTGATATTTGCAAGACTTTGCAACAAAAAAAAATTGTTTCTTTAAATTTGAGCAATATCAAAAACAGCTCCACTTTATTTAATTGAAAAAAAAAAAAACAGGTTGGTCTTTTATAAATTAAATTCAGCTGTGTAAAAAAAAAAAGTATGGATGATTATGTATTTTGCAGCAAATTTGTTACCTTTAGCCTCCATAATGATAAAGACTTTCCAAAAATTATCAAAAAAAATAATAGATTTTTTTTCTTTTTAATACTCCAAAATATATAAAACAACTCCACTTCATAATTAGACTTTGCAAAAATATATACTTCATCATTCATTTTATTGAAGAATTTTGTATTTAATAGGACTGAATCAAGCTGAATACATTAAATTAATAAAAGTTTTTAAAGAGTCAGATCAGGTAGAAATAATTAATTATAGTAACAAATGCCAATATTTGCTTTTTACAATGTGGTTACTTTATTTTTTATTATTTAATGGACGTTTTAAATTACTGTTATTTTCCTCATTTTAATGTGTCATTTTTTTTAAAGAGTCAGAGCAGAAATAAGTAAAGTATTAAATGCCAATATTTACTTTTTACAGTGTGTTTGTTACTTTGTTTATTTATTTACTGTTGGAAATTGCTTTTATTTTCCTCATTTTAGTTTGTCATTTTCTTAACAGTCAGATCAGGTAGGAATAATTAATTATAGTAATAATTCCTAATTATTATTATTACAGTTGTTACTTTATTTTTTATTAACTAATTAACTAAGAGTTTGATTAAGTAGAAATTATGAATTTAGTAAAAACAATGTGTTGTTACTTTATTTTTTATTAATTAATAGCCTTACTAATTTTTAAGTTATTAAATCATAAATCATGGTGTGTGTGTGTGTGTGTGGTGTTTTGTTGTATTTTATAACAATTATTGTTTTTAATAATATTATTGTTAGTATATCATAATTATTGTTATATTTACTTTGATATAATAAATATAATTAATTATTATTTTAATAATTATCATTTTATACATTTATATTATAAATACTACTAATACTTCTGCTATTTTATTATTAATATAAGTATTAGTATTCTTAACATTAATTTATAAAATGCTAATTATTATAATAAATAA